ATCTATCTATCTATCTATCTATCTATCTATCTATCTATCTATCTATCATCTATCATCTATCTATCATCTATATCTATCATCTATCTATCTATCTATCATCATCTATCATCTATCTATCTATCATCTATCTATCATCATCTATTATCATCTGTCTATATATCTATCATCTATCTATATATCTTTATTGATTTCAGAGAGAGGAAGGGAGAGGGAGAGAGAGAGAGAAACCTCAATGATGAGAGATTCATTGATTGGCTGCCTCCTGCACGCCCTGACTGGCGATCGAGCCTGCAACCTGGGCATGTGCCCTAGAGCTCCTAGGATCCTAGGTTGATGTTCAACACCTGAGCCACACCCGGCTATAACTGGTTATCTTAAACTAGAAGTCAATATTCTAATTTTATAAAAGAACCACATAAAACAGAAATGTCTAGAGTGTCAGGATTACTTAATAATAACTAGTAGGAAATAGAGCTTACTTTTGCTTGCAGTCCTTCTATGGAGTTTTTATTACATTTTGAATAGGTAACATATTTATATGTTTCATAAACTAAAAAGCAGATTTTCCTTAAAACTCTGGTGTGCTAGGGTTTGATGTAAGGTGACTCTATTAGGCCTTTGCCCTGGGAAAACTTATGTCAGAATCTTAGGGTTCCCAAATATCACAGAGAAGATTTCTCCAGTATCCTGTATATTTACCAGGGGCTAACTTAGAACAGAAGTAAATAAACATTTCACTCTTTTTTTCCATCATAGAATATGTTATGGACTGACCAGAAATTCTTATGTTACAATCCTAATCCCCAGTGCGACTGGATTTGTGAATAGGAACTATATATACGTAATGCAGGTTAAATGAAGTCATAAGAGTGAGGCCTTAATCTGATAAAACTGGTGTTTTCATAAGAAGAGGAAGAGACATCAGAGATCTCCAGCTCTCTGAGCGTGCACAGAAGAAAAGCCAAGTGAGGACACAGAAGGCAGCATCTACAAGCCAGGAAGAGAGGCCAGACTGTGGTACGCAGCTAGACAGACAGAAGCAGAGCAAGGATGATGGGCCCGGTACAGAAGGTTGCCAGGGTGAAAAGCCACAGGTGCCTAGCAATGGGCAATTGTAGGTGGGACCTGGACCCTAGGGTGACATTTTCTCCCCTAGCATATCACTGGTCATGCAGTTTGAACCCCGTGACCTTTCCTCCCTAGAAATTACATCTAGGCCTCACTTATATTTCATCTCAAGGCACAGAAAAGCAGCAAAACCAGACAAGCAGCACTAGGACTGACCTCAGGACAAGCTGCATTGGAGCTGACCAATCAATCAGTGGAGACCACAACCCTGAAAGGACACACCTGGAAAGCTAATGAATATTCTACTGAACTTTTCCCCTGGGACTTCCCCTAAGATCTCCACCCTTAAAACCCTTAGGACTGAGGACCCAGATTGCTCTCCCTCCTGGGAGCACACCAGCACCTTTCCCTTCTCCCTCCCCGTCCCCCTCTTGAGTCATCTTCACCTTCCTCATTTCTAAGCTCCAAGAGCCCTTCCTTTGCCTCTATAACTTGTTTCCTAAGCTCATTTCTTCTACAAATTACTTCTTCTACCTCTGTGATTTTATCAATAAATGTTCTCTTATATTTTGAGTCTTGACTCTGAATTCTTTCCTAGCCAGAACTCAAGTACTGAGGCTCCTGAACCCAGGTCCTGTCTGATCCTAAGGGTCTAACACCTGGTGCCTTCCCATTGCTGCTAATGAAACCAGAAAACAACCTTTGTCCTCAAACTTCTTGCCTCCACCCAGGACTGTGAGAAAATAAATTTTTGTTGCTTAAGCCATCCAGCTTAATTCCATTTTCCCCACTCTAATTCCATTTAAACTCCAGCTCAAGTTGATTTTTGTCTTCTGATTACTGGCCAAGATACAACTGGGGTGAAACACAGATATTTTTATATTTGCCTATATGGGAGTGAGGTTTGAAAGAGCCTTTGGAAAGTTGGGATTTTTCTTAAATTCTCCATATGTTTTCCAAATGACACCACTCCAATTGCTTAATTATTATTTTTTGTTTAATACACTAAATTTCACATTAAATTGCAGGCAATATTGAATATTGAACCCAATTAATTAAATAAGTATTTTTGAAAATGTTAATACATTTAGCATCTAAAACTATCTTGAATACCGCTAAGAGTGCACATAACTCACTTTAGGAAACACATTATAGACCAAAAAACAGCATAAACTATATTATATTCATTGTGATATAACATTATAACATTATAAGTCTAATGTTAAATAGATCACCATCGATTAAATTAAAGTGATCCAAAACCTGATTGGTGTATTAGGCCTTTAGCATGAGCAGTAGGTGCCTATTGTACCATATAATGAAATCTTAGTAATTTCATTTAAGTTGATCTTTATGAAATGTGTTTAATTATAAATTAATGCAATGCATGTGTTCTTCACTGAGGAGTAACTATTAGTTTTAATATATACAAGAAAAAATAATACCATGTTTTATTTTTGTACCAAATAACCCAGTTATATTCTCTACAGTGATCAAGTCTCAATTAAAAGTATGCTTGCTCTTTACTGTTATGGATTAAAATGGAAAATCATGATGTTCTTCAGTAAGATTTTGACTTTGCAATCTATGATTATAACTAAATAATAAGGCCTTTATAATTATTTTGGAAAAAATGTATTTTGTACTTACCAACAATGTCAGTCATAAGACCTGAAATTTTCTCATCTCCTGTTATCCAAGGACGTTTTCCTGTATCATGGCCATAGACTCCCCTGAAATTAAAAAGGGACATAAACATTCTTAGCTTGTGTGTGTTTGTGATTTTTCAAACATCAGCATTAGCAACTGAACAATTCTAAATTAGTTTTATGGTGTGTTAATGATATAAAAGCATGCTTTCTAAAACCAAAAGTAATACTTGAGAACTGTATTTTAACTTATTTTAAAATTCCTTTGATGTGCTTTTTCTGGGGGGGGGGGATGATGGTGGAAGAAATTGCACATGTACTATTTCATCTTTTTTTTTTTTAATCCAAGATACTTTTTTTTTTTGAGGATTTTAACACTATTTGAATACTCTATATACCTGTAGCATATGGAATATCTATACTAAAACATACTTTTTTTATGCTAAAGATCAAAATTATTATAAATTCAATGATAAAATCTAGCTATAGTCTGTATATTAAATAGAACTACATAAAATGTAACTATACTCGTGATGACATTTTAGGTAAATAACTTGGCAATAATCAAAGCCAATATTACATCTTGACCTATTTCTAGCAATTTCATCTATCATATTTCAGCTTAATTTCATTATTCTAGTAAGCCTCCCAGTAGGCATAATGGAAAAACAAAAAATACATGAGAACTTCAACTCTCAGAAAGTTTCCATCAAAAGGAGAAGGCAAATAAATACATGTGAAAAATATAGAAGAACTTAAAAAGGGGTCAAGGGTGTGTGTATGTGTTACAAACTTGTATCTTAGGAAGCTTCTAATTAAATTGTTTTTAATTTTTATAAATTAAAAACTATGTAAACTTGGAAAAAAAAAGAATAAATGTGTGTGTTTTTTAATACAATGCAGACTATAAATCAAATTCAGTAAGCTGGCAGTGGTGAGCTGGTAAGCCTGTTCTCAGAGGCGAAAGGTGGCAGAATACGCTATCCCCAAATAGCTCTGTGGTATATTATCTTGAGCTGAAGGCACTTGAAAAACATCAAATGCAGGGAGAGGCTGTTTCTAAACTTTCCTATGTACCTAAAGACAGATCCTCCAAAATAAACTCAATTTCAATACATCCCCTCTTTATGAATTTCATCAATCAGGGAAGACTGACTTGTCACAGAACAGATTAGAAGTCATAACCATGCCCAGACAAATTTTGTCACAAACCATATACTGATACTGTTGTAATAACCTGGTTATTATTTAACAGGAAAGGAATAAGGGGAAGAATAGATAATATAGGCATGTCATTTATACTGCTTTTGCTAGAAAGCTGTAATTTAACACTCTTCAAGTCTGTTTGTTCCCTGCTGATGAATGGGGGAGGGGGCTGAACAAAGACAGTTTGGACGCATGCCCAACAAGGTCTGAGTGACATGGGAAGTTGCTTACCTGTCTGTCGGTCACACCTGGGAACAGGTAATTGACCAGAATAAGTGTGGCCACCTCAAAGGCTGTAAACCTGAATATTTAAACTTCGGAACAAAGGGAGTTCTCTCCCTTGGCTCTTGGCTCAATGGTTTGCTGTTTGAGCCCAAGACTCCTATTGCAGGGGGTGCATATTCCTGCATTTGCCCATGTGGTCCTTGGCCTTGTGGGCTCCACACAATGGAGTGATGGACTTTAATTAGCCTGAGTGCTGAAATGGACCCGGCTGCAACATGGAATAGAAGCTCTGGCCCCTGGCCCTCCTTTGGCTCTGCCTGACCACCACCCCCCCCCCCC